GTCCTATAGCTGTTGTGAACAGTAGCTATATATATATATATATATATATATATATATATATATATATATATATATATATATATATATATATATATATATATATATATATATATAATAACGTTGTACCTAATAGACAGAACGCACTACTCGGCCTAGTATGCAAGGCTCGATTTGCCTAATAGGAAGAGTGAGTTTTGCTATTAAAAAAAATGCCTCCAATTGGTTTATTTGAAATAATAATAATATATTTTATTAAGAACGGGAATTGTTGACAGTTACGTTAGTTTAAGTTAGCTTAAGAGAGGTTAGGTTAGGTTAGGTAGGTTAGGTTAGGTAGGTTAGGCTAGGTAGGTTAGGTAGGTTAGGTTAGGCTAGGTAGGTTAGGTTATGTTAGGTTAGGTTAAGCTAGGTAGGTCAGGTTAGGTTAGGTAGGTTAGGTTTGGCTATATTTATTAGGTTAGGTAGGTTAGGATAGGTAGGTTATGTTAGGTTAGATTAGGTAGGTTCGGTTAGGTTAGGTAGGTTGGGCTAGGTAGGTTAGGCTAGGTAGATTAGGTTAGGTAGGTTTGGTCATATTTCTACATGAGTAGAAACCCATATTAGAAAAAGGTTAAATCAAATATAATATAATGGAAAGCTTTATCATTTCATAAGAAAAAATTAGAAAAATATACAACTTCAGGAAAACTCGGCTTGTTATGCAGTTCTGGCCTTGCATACTAGGCCAAGTAGTGCGTTCTGGCTACTAGGTACAACATTATATATATAGTAAAAGGCATCCATCAGTCTCAGGAGACTATGGAGATGCGCTATGATTGTCGGTCTGGAGTGGCCTCACCAGGGCGCAAAGCCAGGGTAGGTTGACACGGGGGAGAAGCTGTTACCCAAGCAGCAGGTCCCCAATCTCCACGGGGCCGAAAGTCTCCAATGGAGAGGCAAATGCCAATATGATTGGTTCCAGCACCGTCGCAGGAACTGTCAGAACGAAGTTGAAGGCAACAACGAACTGTCCTAGGGGCTCCAGCTCCGGAAGGGAGGGTAACTATCAGGAGAAAGTGACAAGTTATTACGACTATATAGCACTGGAAAGGAGGTCAGAATAATGATTTGGGATGGGACAGGGGGGGGGAAGAAATGATGCCCAACCACTTGGAGGGTCGGGGATTGAACTCCGACTGCATAAAGCAAGACCGTCGCTCTATCGTCCAGTTCAAGTTTTGGAGTTCACCTCAAAGTAGGTAAAAGAAGGCACAGGGACTCCAAACCCGGAGACCGCCGTGGTCGGGGCCGGAGAAGAACCACCCCAGCAAGGGGCAAGACCGACCCCAGCCTCCTGAAGCAGAGCCTGGGGGGCCGCACGAGCCCCGGGAGGTGGACGGCCCGGTCCCGCACCTACGGGTTCCTGACAGTGATCGTCACAGCTCTTCCTCCCGAGGCCCGCTTCCTTCATGACCAAGCAGAAGGAAGAGTCATAATTATTATATACAACAATTATAATAATAATTAATATTTTAATAATATTATTAATTATTACTCTTCCTTCTTCCTAGTCATAGGAAGAAGGGCAGTCACAATAAATATATATATATATATATATATATATATATATATATATATATATATATATATATATATATATAATATATATATATATATGTGTGTGTGTGTGTGTGTGTAAAATGTGTGTTCATGTGTTAACTAAATTAGGCATAGGATTGCGTATGTTAGGCTTAGCATGACTTATAGGCCTAGTACAGGTTAGGGTTAACTGTTTGGTTAACCATTTGGTGTGACATTGTCAATTCCAGTCAGTCAAAACGCGATTTTCTTTTGAAGGGGTGAATAGAATTCCATATTTTAATACATTCCGTCCATAGTAGCTATAGGTACTATGATTCTTGGAGGAGAAGCTGGGGGAATGTGTCCATCATGATGATGATGACATGGTGTCATGATGGTTCCATGAGGACCCAACACCATGATGGTTCCATGAGGACCCTAACATCCTAGTAGGACCATGAGGACTTCAAAATCCTCACGGTGCCAGGAGGACCTCCCACATCATCAGAGACCATGAGGACCCCCACATCATGAGAGACCACGAGGACCCCACATCATGAGAGACCATGAGGACCCCTATATCATGAGAGACCATGAGGACCCCCACATCACGAGAGACCATGAGGACCCCCCACATCATGAGAGACCATGAGGACCCCCACATCATGAGAGACCATGAGGACCCCCCACATCATGAGAGACCATGAGGACCCCCACATCATGAGAGACCACGAGGACCCCACATCATGAGAGACCATGATGACCCCACATCATGAGAGACCATGAGGACCCCCACATCATGAGAGACCATGATGACCCCACATCACGAGAGACCATGAGGACCCCCACATCATGAGAGGCCATGAGGACCCCCACATCACGAGAGACCATGAGGGCCCCCACATCATGAGAGGCCATGAGGACCCCCACATCATGAGAGACCATGAGGACCCCCTCATCATGGGAGACCATGAAGACCCCCACATCATGAGAGACCATGAGGACCCCCACATGCGAGACCATGAGGACCCCACATCATGAGAGACCATGAGGACCCCACAACATGAGAGACCATGAGGACCCCCACATCATGAGAGACCATGAGGACCCCCACATCATGAGAGACCATGAGGACCCCCACATCATGAGAGACCATGAGGACCCCCACATCATGAGAAACCATGAGGACCCCCACATCATGAGAGACCATGAGGACCCCCACATCATGAGAGACCATGAGGACCCCACATCATGAGAGACCATGAGGACCCCCACATCATGAGAGACCATGAGGACCCCCACATCATGAGAGACCATGAGGACCCCACATCATGAGAGACCATGAGGACCCCCACAACATGATAGCAACATAGAGATGCCAGCCTAACTAACTGTGCTGGGGCTGGGGGGGGGGGGGAGAGAGGCCATATAAGCCTCCGCCCGTTTTCCTTAGCATTCATTAGAGGGGGACTAAAGTGGTAATTAAAAATTCACCAAGGGCGTCGGATCCGCCGTTACCTCCCTGCCACACATCTCTTACACTGGGTCCTCTTTATCTCCTCCCTCTCTCTCTCTCGATTTCTTTCTCCCTCTCTCTTTCTCTCTCTCCCTCACACACAAACACACACACACACACACATTAGATATGATAGACGGTAGATATAATAAGCTCAATAGGCTCAGGAACCTGTATAACAGTAGATTGACCTTTGAGAGGCGGAACCAAAAATCCGTTGTTCAATCCCCCGCAGTCACAACTAGGTGAGTACAATCAATGAACAATGAACCATCACCACCATAGTCATCACCATCACCACCAGCATAGTCATCACCATCACCACCAGCATAGTCATCACCATCACCACCATAGTCATCACTATCACCACCATAGTCATCACCATCACCACCAGCATAGTCATCACCATCACCACCATAGTCATCACTATCACCACCATAGTCATCACCATCACCACCAGCATAGTCATCACCATCACCACCAGCATAGTCATCACTATCACCACCATAGTCATCACCATCACCACCAGCATAGTCATCACCATCACCACCAGCATAGTCATCACCATCACCACCAGCATAGTCATCACCATCACCACCAGCATAGTCATCACCATCACTACCATAGTCATCACCATCACCACCAGCATAGTCATCACCATCACCACCACCATAGTCATCACTATCACCACCACCATAGTCATCACCACCACCATAGTCATCACCATCACCACCACCATAGTCATCACCATCACCACCAGCATAGTCATCACCATCACTACCATAGTCATCACCATCACCACCATAGTCATCACCATCACCACCAGCATAGTCATCACTATCACCACCATAGTCATCACCATCACCACCATACTCGAGGCGTCTCTTTTTTTGTAAGGTCATTTTCCCAAAATATTTTTTCCTTTTTTTATCGGTGCTTAAAAGGTAATTTATGGGCTTAAAGGATTCATCTGCGGCTTTGTTTCGTCGTGGCGTGTGGACGGGTGGACGGGTGGACGGGGGTAGGTGGACGGGTGGAAGGTAGACGGGTGGAGCGAGGACTGGTGGACGGGTGACCGGTGGAGCGAGGACGGGTGGAGGGTTGACAGGTGGAGCGAGGACGGGTGGAGGGAGGACGGATTGAGGGTGGAGCGAAGACGGGTAGAGGGTGGAGGGAGGACGGGTAGAGGGTGGATGGGTGGGAAGAAAAGGAGGAAAGTAGAGGGACTGAGTAGAGGGATACAAGAGAAGAGTGCGGCGGTTGTGATGAGTAAGGAAGGAAGGAGGAACGGATGGAAATGATCAAATAAGGGGTAACGAACACAGTGTGTGTTTGTATATAGAGGGAGGGAAGATGCGTATGTGGTACGGCGGACGGAGGGGCGTATGTGGTACGGCAGGCGGGGGGGCGTATGTGGTACGGCAGGCGGGGGGGCGTATGTGGTACGGCGGACGGAGGGGCGTGCAGTGAAATACGGTAGACGCCGGTGTGCGTCAATAAACAGTGGTAGAGACAGGTTCTGTAACGAACTTAGTTCGCTGGGGTCGTCCACAGGCTCTGTAACAAACTTAGTTCTCTGAGGTCGTCGACAGGCAGTAAGAACCCTGATGCAAGTAGACTATCGCTCGGAGTGACAGGTGTACCTGACCCAGGTTAAAGGCCGCTCGGGAAGTCATACTTCAAGACCCTTAAGATCTCTCAGAGAGTCTTGCTCTAGGACCGTTGAACCGAGTGGAAGACAACTCGGAGGATCAGACACTGAGAGAAGCCCCTTGACCCAGCCTGGACCCCAGCCCTCCCCCAGGCACTTAGCACCCTGGCTAGGTGCCTGGGGCGCCCTCACAGTTCAGAATCACAACGCCACACTTGTCAGTCACACTTTAGCCACTAATAACAATTATCTCTAAAGATAATTCCCACTCACCTTCCTGCTGTGTCGGGAAAAGTCTCAGAGCGGTTAAAGTCGTCTGCGCTCGACCCGGACAACAAAGAAATCGACTCTTCATTACTAGACTGCAGGTGGTGACAGTTTGAGGGGAAGCTGGTCGTTGCCCAGGGCTGCTGTTGTCACTGATGTTGCTGCTTCTGTTGTCAATGCTGTTGTCACTGTTGTTGTCACTGCTGTTGTCATTGTTGTTGTCATTGCTGTTGTTGTCGCTGCTGTTGTTACTGTTGTTGTCTCTGCTGTTGTCGCTTCTGTTGTAGCTGGTGTTGTCACTGCTGTTGTCGCTGCTGTTGTCGCTGCTGTTGTCACTGCTGTTGTCATTGTTGTTGTCTCTGCTGTTGTCGCTTCTGTTGTAGCTGGTGTTGTCACTGCTGTTGTCGCTGCTGTTGTTACTGCTGTTGTTGCTGCTGTTGTTACTGCTGTTGTCGCTTCTGCTGTCGCTGCTGTTGTCATTGCTGTTGTCACTGCTGTTGTCGCTGCTGTTCTCGCTGCTGTTGTCGCTGCTGTTCTCGCTGTTATTGTCGCTGCTGTTCTCGCTGTTATTGTCGCTGCTGGTGTTACTGTTGTTGTCGCTGCTGTTTTTACTGTTATTGTCGCTTCTGTTGTCGCTGCTGTTGTTACTGTTATTGTCGCTGCTGTTGTTACTGTTATTGTCGCTGCTGTTGTCATTGCTGTTGTCGCTGCTATTGTCATTGCTGCTGTCGCTGCTGTTGTCGCTGATGTTGTCACTGCTGTTCTCGCTGTTATTGTCGCTGCTGTTGTTACTGCTGATGTCGCTGCTGTTGTCGCTGCTGTTGTCACTGTTGTTGTCACTGTTGTTGTCGCTGTTGTTGTCGCCGTTGTTGTCACTGTTGTTGTCGCTGTTGTTGTCACTGTTGTTGTCACTGTTGTTGTCGCTGTTGTTGTCGCCGTTGTTGTCAGTGTTATTGTCGCTGTTGTTGTCGCTGTTGTTGTCACTATTGTTGTCGCTGTTGTTGTCGCTGTTGTTGTCGCTGTTGTTGTCGCTGCTGTTGTCACTGTTGTTGTCGTTGCTGTTGTCGCTGTTGTTGTCGCTGTTGTTGTCGCTGCTGTTGTCGCTGTTGTTGTCGCCGTTGTTGTCACTACTGTTGTCGCTGCTGTTGTCACTGTTGTTGTCACTGTTGTTGTCGCTGCTGTCACTGTTGTTGTCGCTGCTGTCACTGTTGTTGTCGCTGCTGTCACTGTTGTTGTCGCTGCTGTTATCGCTGTTGTTGTAGCTGTTGTCGCTGCTGTTGTCGCTGTTGTTGTCGCCGCTGCTGTTGTCACTGCTGTTGTTGCTGCTGTTGTCACTGCTGTTGTCGCTGCTGTTGTAGCTGCTAATGTTTCAGCCTCTATCTTTGCCCCGTATGGTGACCATACAGTACAGGCCACGCACCCTTCGTCACTCAATCCACAGACTTACCCCAGCCGTCCTCCCTCTCTTAGGACCCATCATCCTCCTCTGACCTCCACCCGTCACCCCCAGACACCCGACACCCTGGATTTAGATCCGGGGGTCGGATTTAGAACGTCAACTGGGCCGTGAGTGCCCATCGTACAGTAACCACCGTTCAGAGCCGAGAGTGCGCTGGTCAGCACCTGCGGTATGAGAGCAGAGAAGCAGCAGGAGGTAGATACGCATCGAGTGCGTAACATTCTCAGGGCAGGAACATTCTTCACATGTCCCATGGAAGAGTATAGAGTACTCTTCAATTCCCGCGTAGAGCCGCCGTTCCACGAGGGCGTCCTCTGCACTGGGAGGTGGTCTTTTCTCCGGACGATTTAGGTGCTTTTCTTAGTTTAATATTGTGGGTACTTTTTTTTCCCGTATGTGTTTTATGTTTTTCTGCCTGAAACGTCAATGGAATTTACATCAACGTTAATGGTTATCTTCCGGAGTGGTATTGCTCTGGTGTAGTGTGTGAGATGACCGCGAGATGGCAGCACGGGGTGGGAGACAGCGTCCACCACCACCACTACACCCAATCCCCCCCACCACCACCACCACCACCACTACCACCACCACCTACCGTCTCCACCACCACCGTCATGGGCTACCTCACCCACCATCCATCACCCCCCCCCCCCTCTCACCACCTACACCACCTTATTCACTTTATACAACCACTTCCATAACTATCACTACAACCAACACTACAATCCCAAGCACCATTTTGATGTCCTCCATTCCCTCCACTCATTCATATCCCCCATCCCACCCATCCCACCCATCCCACCCATCCCACCCATCCCCCCTGTTCCCCTTTCCCAGGAACCCGCATGCTTGAGACTTCTGCCTTTGGCTTACTGACTTTGTGTGGCCGAGGAATACTGGGATACATGCTTGTGTGCGTGTGTGTGTGTGTGTGTGTGTGTGTGTGTGTGCGTGTGTGTGTGTGTGGGTGTGTGTGTGTGTGTGTGTGTGTGTGTGTGTGTGTGTGTGTGTGTGTGTGTGTGTGTGTGTGTGCGTGTGTGTGTGTGCGTGTGTGTGTGTGTGTGGGTGTGTGTGTGTGTGTGTGTGTGTGTGTGTGTGTGTGTGTGTGTGTATTCACCTAGTTGTATTCACCTAGTTATACTTGCGGGGGTTGAGCGCTGCTCTTTCGGCTCGCCTCTCAACTGTCAATCAACTGTTACTAACTACTATCTTTTTTCACACATACACATATACACACACACACAGGAAGCAGCCCGTAACAGCTGTCTCCCAGGTACCTATTTACTGCTAGGTAACAAGGACATCAGGGTGAAAGAAACTCTGCACATTTGTCCCTGCCGGCGCCGGGAATACTCCTTTTGTGTATGTTTATGTATGTATGTATGTATGTATGTGTATATGGCATATCTAACAGCTAAAACCGCACTACTTGGTCTAGTATGCAAGGAGCGATTTGCTTAACAAGCAGAGTGATTTTCAAATACTTCTTTCCAAATGAGTTTATTCCAAATAATAATATTATATAATATTAAGAACATGAATTACTGGCAGTCTTAACTCAAAGTCTTAATTTAAAAAAAAAATTATACACATATATAAATACATGCATAGTACATCCACTAATAGTCTTAGATTCATGGGCTTGCATCTATTCATTTTAATGAATAATATATATATATAATATGTATAATATAAATGCATAATATGAAGGTATTTCAGACATATATTGACAAGCAAATATATAGAAAAAAGGTTCTCTACATGCAGTAATATATATATATATATATATATATATATATATATATATATATATATATATATATATATATATATATATATATATATATATATATATATATATATATATACGCTGCTGACCTGCAAGCTGGTAAAGATGTGTGGTTTCCCGCCAGCAGCGGCGCGTCCGCTTGTGTCTGGTGGTGTTGTAGTCTGACGTGTGTTGCTTTTGTTGTCTTCCAGGTGGTGGCTGGCCCTTCCTCCCGCTAGGCCGCTCCTCCAGCAACAACGTGAGTACCACCACTTCTCTCTTGCACAGTTATCATCTTACACCCCCTTACTTAAGTGTTATGATGTCCCTGTCTTTACTGTGTCCATGTACCCATGGCGGAGCTGTACCGCAAGCCCGCCTTAGGCACAGCTGCCAACCTGAGCTTGTTAAGACGAATACGGTAGGCTCACACACACGCCCTGCCCCCCCCCTCCCACATCCCCTCCCCCACCACACACACGCGCCCACTCTGGGTACTAATTACGCAAATGAAGTGAGTTCTTAAGTAGGTGTTCCCGAGGCTGGTGTTATACCAGTCCCCCGAGCCGCCAGGGACACCACGTACCTGTCTCACAACTCATCCCTACCACTTCCCTAGCCTCCTCCTGCC